AAGTTACCTTATAAATTTGAACAATTTGCCACACAGTCTTCAGCAGCCTAAGCGAATTCAAATTCCTGTTTTCAGTCATCTCGATGATTTGAGTCGATATCTCTTGAGTTTTTATACAGCTGCTTTGGTCTTCGACGAATCCATAACCAAGGTTAACTTACTACTCGACAATTCAAAAAGAGAGTTCACAAATCTACTGTTTTTTCCTCTTGATCTTTAACATGTCTTTAACTCCTTGTTGTCAATCACTTGAAGCGAAAAGGTAGTCAAGACTGTTTCTTTTAGGGCCACAGTTTGCTAAACTGGATTGACAAACCCTCAAAAATGACTTAGTTTTTCCTTCTCTTTCTTTGATGAACAAGTTTTTCTGGACGTGCATTCAAACACGGATCGGAATCTAATGAAATTGGCGGGAATCTTCCAGATTGCATTAAAAACGTGTGAAAATTAGCTTTTCAGAATGTTTTGAAAAGTTGAAAAAAGTCAAATGTTGCTCTCCGAACATTATAATTTTCCAAAACCAAATAGCGCCTGCATTCAGCGGTAATCCACACTGAACACCCACTGAGAGTGGGTGTCACGTGACCGGCCAATGCCAGGGCTATCTCTGTCCGCCATTTTGAAAAAAGCGAGCAGAGTAGCCCTGGGAACGAGGTTGCTCCTTTGCATCCGTTCATCGTCGGGACAGGAATCCCGAAACGCAAACGGATGCGCAGCAACGCCAACTCTTCAAAGGCGAAAATACGTAATTTGATTTTTAAATTTTCTCACGAAAAATACACAGCAATGTCACACATACATTTTATTTCTTAAATCCGGTGCTAGGTTTTTTATTAACAAAATAAGTTATGCGCGAGGCCCAGTTTTTTGGAGAGAACTGTGGTGAAAACATGGATCGCCATACTATTTTAATGCTCAACCTCAACTCTTCAAGGGCAAAAATACGTGATTGGATTTTCGAATTTTCTCATGAAAAATACCCAGAAAGGTCACATATAGATTTTATTTCTTAAATCCGGTGCTAGGTTTTTACGATTGTTTTTAATGTCGCCGCATTTCTTCAAAAAGCCTTGAAATCTGGCCTTTTTTCGTCAAATTTGGCACTTCATACGGACTGTCAGGTCAAGCTTGAGTGATCACGGACTATTTGTCCCCCATAAGTTCCATATGGGAAGACGGTTAATGAAAACGTACTGCATCCTGGGTTAAAATCGAGAAATTTTGCCCTTCTCTGGATTATTATTAGAGTTGCTGCCTACGCTTCGCTCGCTCAGGCTCGCTACGCTGCGGCAGCAATAAACAGTTCTTACTTTGTTTGTTCATAAGTTGGCATAATCAGTTTGTTTTCTGTTTTATTGTATTTAAGCTTATGGGGTAATGTTTTCATGCCAAGAAACCAAATGCGCGATTTGTACTCATTTTAATAAGCATACAGTGAAACGAGTTTAGACATACTAATGTGCTCTCTGACACTCGTATTTCAGTGTGTTTTATGTTAAACTTATTTGTATATCTAGCATAGCTTGCTGGTAGCGATATCAACATATCAACCTTACGCCTAATAATTGATACGTGATTCTCATGAACTTCGCAAATTTCAATGGTTTTCAAGCTCTGTTTAGCACTTGAAATCATGGAGACTTTTCGAGACTTTTTTGACTGTAACTTCGCCTCGTATGACTATTTTCTATAGATCTGACTTAACACTTAAATAGCTCAAAGAACAGGAGTAAAAAGAGCACTTTTTTGAACGGATCGTCATATTATATAAGGGACTGTGCAATAATTACCAGGAGGGGGGCCGTAAAACTAGAGGGGGGACATTACATAAAATTGATGGCAAGATAGGGGGGCTCAAAGTAAAATTACCTAATTAACAGAGGGGGGACCTTAAGTTTCACTCAAAATTTTCATAATTTTCGATGTCTCTCAAAATGAGTTATTTCATTCAAATTTTGAAAATTTTCTGGGGGAGGACCAGACTACCTTAATACTCCTGCCTTTGGCGTTCGTTAGACCCCGGCCAGATAATAATTATTGAAGATATACTGATTTTAACAAAAATCCAAACTTGAAATCCAACTCGAAATCCAACAACTTGAGATCCAACTCGAAATCCAACTTAAAAGACGCATCGATGCTTGAATTTTGACTGCGTATCAGTAGCGAATGCACAAACATACTTGGTTCTTATCAAGACACAGGTGCATCCGACTTCCATATATGGATGTCCATATGCATGGCTCTAATGTACCTATAGAAGGACAATTCAGGTTCACTCAAGCGATTTAGTCTCATGGCTTAATGGTTAGGTTTAGGGAAAATATCGGTTTAGGCAATGAATGCATAGCGCTGGTTCGAATCTTAGTACGCGTCCTTCAAAAATTTATTTTCAGTTTTAGTTTTTTGAAAATTTTCTAAGTTCTTTTCCACATAATTGGGACATCAGTGCCTTCTATGTGCACATCAGCGCTGTACATGCACAACCATATATGGAAGTCGTGCGACAGACCCTTCTCTTGAAAGGTCCGGTGTTTCTCTTTTTTATGGTTCTATCTTAATTTTTTTTGTTATGAACTGTTTTTGAGATAGTTATTTGTATGAACTGCTGATACTAGCAGCCAGTTCTTACACACTATACTGTGCATTGAACTAATTTAGTTAAACGTTTATAATTTAGGTCCGTATTATGGAAAAACTTCCCCCTCCCCATTTGTAAGGCAGCCTACGGGCGTGTGTATTCTAGATGACATGCGTACTTTCTTTGCAATGTTTACGATAATGACCCTTCTTAAATTCAAGCTTTTATTCATTATATGCGTAAGTTGTTTAATTAGGATTCTGATATAATCTTAATTGTGTATTATAATCTTGATTGGATAGACATATTTTAAATATTTTAATAAAGTCTTTTTATTTTGTGATGAATCTTTAATTAAAAAATAGGATTCTGCTTGGTCCTGGTTCTCTATCACGTTGATAAGACTAGCGTCTACTAACATGCTACATAAAAATTTTTATTAAACTTTTTATGAAACCGGATAAACCAGTAATTTGTGATGCGCATGAATATTTAAAAAGGAAGAAATAGACGGCATAACCTGTGCTGACATCCGGGATGATCTATTTCGTCAAAGAGATTACAAAAATTTATTCTTTATTGCTTAATTGAAATTTTATGTCTTATTCTAATTAGGTGACAAGATGCCATGCCCTAAAGGACAGGTTGGAATTGTTCCGAATTGTTCGGGTAGGTATTTGAACATTTGGGATGGAATGATCTATAACGCAGTTTTGCATGATTGGGTGATTTTCTAAGAATTAGAAATAGATACATACAATAGTATTTTTTTTTCTTATTAGGGAACGTTCATTAATTATGCCTTAGGAGGGGCTGGAGGAAAAGTAGGGGGGCTTTGAAAAATAAACAAACAATAAAGGGGGGCTTAAATGGCATTTGCTGACTTGAAGAGGGGGCTGAAATACAAAATTAAAGTATGTATATATCTATATAGTATCAATATAATGTTTTTTTATTATACATTTCTTATCAATGATCATTTTAAACAACAACTTTGCTTTATTTTTTTTAATCGATGATCGATTACACATTGAAGAAATACTTCGATTTCGAGCTTGAAATTCGATACAGATAATAGTAATTTGTTAGCATGTAAATTAGAAAATCAAGTTCATTTTTAAAAAAATTAGGTACCAGGAAGATTTTTTTGGCGTTAAACATAGGATGCATATTTATTATTTATATCATTTTAAGTCTCAGAAAAATATTTGTGTAATATTTTAAAATAATGGTTTCTCTAATTTCATTTAGCATTGAATGAACTATGTTTGTGTAAAATTTCAGCGTGATTGGATTGTTTGTAAGGCCATTGCATCGCTTTGTTTTCGACCTTTGGATAGACCGATTTCGAGACACGATAATTATGGTGCGGCGGCAATATTTTACTTTGGCAAATTTCTCAAAAATAAAAATATCCTGGAATCTTTTATTATGCTTTTGGTCTACCTAAAGGTGTCATCTGGCAAAGTATGAAGAATTTGACCAAGAGGTCGCTGAAATCAGATTCTCGATGTTTGGGGACATTCGCTCTTAAAGTTTCATGTTAATAAACAATCATCAGGCTATGAACAATGTTCGAGATATATTATGATGCTTACATATGTACTTGTGTAAAGAATTTCTCTATGGGATTAGCTATTTTACATTGCTATATGCATATGGTGGGGCTATTTTTCCTCAATATCACTAAGGAGGGGGGGGGGGGTCGAAAAAAATATTGTGATAGAKTAAGGGGGGCTGCGAATTTTCCAAAGTTTTTTGGACTTTTCCTCCAGACCACCCTGAGGCATATTTAATGAACAGTAAAAATACAATATAAGAGACTAAAAAAATACCACAAAAAAAGTATCAAAAGCACTTTAGCTAAAAATATGGTGCCCTTAAGGTATACTATTTGAAATCAAATAAGAGATGAATGATTAATTGATAATCAATCCATTTTCCACAGTTTCCATCATTGCACATTTCCCTTCTTCGTAATCTTCGAGTTAAAAATGGAATAAGATTTAAAAAATAGAATTAACTTAAACAGGATGGAATTGAACAAAAACATCTGATCTGAGTCTTCGTTTTCCACAGTTTCCATCATTGCGCATTTCCCTTCTGGTCTTCTCCCAACACCAACCATCACGTACAAGGACAATCCTGTTGATCCCTTGACGATGCTCTGTAAATTCAGTTTTCCCAACTGGAAAAACGTGTCATTTGGTATTGAATGGTTTACTGATGGCTACTCAGTCAAAAATGACACTATTTGCAGTGATGAAAGTGATCCTGATTGCTCGAATAGGCACAGTGGATTACCTGCACTCCATCCCGACCAAATACGGTCTTACTTCAAACCAGGACATAGGGTAAGAAGGGTCATTGCTGTTTTAGAACACTTTTAAGAGTAAGTAGATTGCAGAAGCAGCAATCTACCATTGCCAAACTTCCGAAACAAGACATAAATTATTCTTGATTACTGTAACCATTTATGAGTTCATATGTTATTGTAAGATCTGTCAGTAGTAATATCAGAGCTTCTCAAGCCCAGAAACCGCAGGTATTAATTATTTCAGTAGGAGGAATGCTAATGAGTCAAAAGTAATAGGGGATGGGTCAGGTCAAAACGAATAGGAGGTAATTCGTTAAAAAAATGTAGTCACGAGATTGTTATTCCCATACAACACGGCTGCTCATGTTGTAAACTATGAAATAAAGCAATTATCTTTTAATAATTGTGAACCCGTCATTTTCTTGTTTAATAAGGGAATAACACAAATCGATGTTGACTTTACGAATGTCACTCGATAAACGAGGAACGAGGCGCTATCAAAAGAGTTTCCAGGCAGATTAGATCGCCTACATTTATGATAATGAATTACCTCTTACTCATTTTGGCCACCCCTCCCCTATAAAGTTATTTGACTCTTTATCATACCTCCCACTAAAATAAGTAATACCTCCTATGTTCGGGACTCGACAAGCTCTGGAGCTCTTACTACTAATTCTGTCACTCACTGACTTTCCTGTAAAATGCACTTATTGGCAAAGTAACACTGCTATTTTTGTGCAATTTTCTTTTTATTCGAAGTGAAATAAACATTTGGTCCCCATTAGGTATCGAACTCGTGACCTCCGGGTTCATAACCTATATAGCGCCTTACTGTGCTCATTGCTACTGCGCAATATTTATCAGACTTATCATGAGGGGGAGGGTTGAAAAATGAGCCAAAAAATGGAGAAAGTTAATAACTACCCCCCTCGCAAACGAAATAAATTATGCTCTGCCCCGCTATCATATATTGGAAAAATTAGGCTAAAAAATTAGCTCTTCGTGGCCTGGCTCATATTTATGTTCAAGACATGCTTGTGAAATAGGGCAAAAAACATCATGGGCAGAAAGCATCACGGGATATTCTTCCGTTTACATGCACTTTGGTCGGTTTTACTCAAGTCTACCCGAACAAAAAGAAATAGACGAACCACTCCCATACGCTAGTTGTTGCTTGAAGCACTCGAAAATGTCCAACTCCTCTATTAAGCGAAACGACGTAACACAAATAACTTTTGGTCTCACAATTTTTGTGTATTTTATGAAAAACTTAATGTTTAAGTGTAGGTTTAAAGCAATAAGGTTTCCTAATTCATTTAACAGGTTCACTGTAAGCTGCGCATGAGATATAACACAAATGTTGACAACAAATGGACCGCCATTACAAAGCAAAGTACCCAGTACTTCGTTGGTATCAAGGTATAATCATTAGCAAACACTGAAAACCATCTACATTTAATACTTTAATTCTTTTTAATGTATCAAAATACAATTATTACACAATTACTAAAAACTATTTGCAACTTAATAAGAGTGCACACTGTATGTGCCTCTCCAGATTATTTTATAGAGCGCGAGCGGAGCACCATAGTTATGAAAAAATAGTATATCCATCGAGTCCATTTTTCATAGACCGACACGTACGCACGTTTCCTTCCGTCCGTATCATAGGCCGCCCAACTATTGCTTGAGAGACAGAAAACAACGAATGCGCACGCTTTTAAAATGTATATGTTATCGGCGCGCGAACTTAGCAAAATGAGGATTACCTGTGGTACTACGTCACGATCCCTAGCCTCGCGGGTCTACACACTAGTCTATAACAAGGTATGAAACACTGGTCACGTAACAATCTTATTTTGCTCATATCTCTCCAATGATAACAGTAAACGATAATGAGTTTGAGTCTTTGCTGCCTATGTCCGTATTCCGTACTTCATTCGGCCCGTGTACCACCACAGGAAATACATATTCCCAACGAAAAGAAAGAAAACGCCAAAATATTTGTTGAAACATTGAATTTTTTTCCTCAAACATTTTATCTTTCATATTGAGAATATCAGAAAAAATAAACAAAAGCAAAAATCCCCAGGAGAGAAATCAAAGCACAGAAATATTCCCGCCAATTTTGTCATAAACTACGACTGCACATCCGGGAAATCGATTTGCTAAAGATAAAAAGTAATTTACCTTCCGACTCAAGCGATTTGAGGTACAATTTTTAGGAATAACACGGTATGACTTCTCGCTTTGACATTTCGACAATAGGGAAAAGATGATGCTATATTGGAAATACTGAAAAAAATTGGGAAAAACAACGCTCTCTATGTAAATTTTGTTCGCCAAGAAGCGTGGACATTTTGAAGCCAAGATTGCGCCAGCAGAACTCGACTGAGAGACATTTGAAAAAAACAAGAATTGACAAATTACAGCCTTGAATGAGTTTATAAATTGATAAAACTTATAAAAATAAGTATGGTGATGATATTTTTGAATCGTCGAGTTTGCCTTGGATGTCTCACCGTTGGTTAGTCCTGTAGAGTAATAATATAGCAAATGCGACCAGATACTGCTGTTAGATGGTAAATACTTAACTAAATATGAAGTCGAGCTTTCGCTGTTCTACAGCATCATCAGGACTGCAAATAAAACATGCTGCTGAAGGATAACTTTTCAATATTAGCTCTGTTATAGTTTACCGACGAAAAATAATATTAAGCTTAGTATCTATAGCATTTTCTTGGTATTTGAGAGATGAACATTTATCGGAAGTTCAAGAATCAAGGTAAAAAAATACGAAGATGTTCTTTTACTAGTCTATCATCTCATATACCATGAGTGGAGATTTGTCCGAGATGACGAAAATGAKACGTACATAGTGAAGGATTCAAAGGCGTCTTTTACGCATATACGCAAAACGCTGGAAATAGCATTTCTAAGAGTTATTATTTAGTACTACCACCTTCAGCGATCGTTATTCCCCTCAATCCAAAATATGTGTCGCGGTCCTTGGCATGTGCGTACTAGCAAAAAAGTACACGGCGCTACGCGGCTGATTCAGCGTGGAATCCAACGCTTTCAAAGCTGAATTCAATGAAAAATCAGGGATTCCGCGTGAATGAGTTTTTATTTTGTCGCTTTTCTTTTTTTCGTTTTTTTGACAAATAACACTTTAAAGTAACAAGAATAGAAGCTTTTTTACTCGTGACCAGGCCCTAGGCCTATGCAGCGCGTTTAATTTTGTTTTTTAGTCGGCCGAAGGCCATTTCGACTTGAGTTTTACCTTTTAGTCAATCTATCTGTGTATGATGTCGCGTTTGGACCACCGGAAGTTAAGAATTTAATAATTAACTATTGGGTTGGCTGTGATATTATACGACCGGAAGCTCAATCGTATAGATGTATGAATATCGTTAGTAAATGTTATATGCTACTTGCGCTTTTAAAACTATTCGTTTACAAATGTGGTATCTGTGATTTCATCGGAATGCATCAGTCTAGACATCATAAGTACGCGCATGTGCAGTTCGCATGGTGCTTCGAGTAGTATGCTAAATCAATGACCTTTCTAGCGTTAGGCAGTCTTGTGTGGGCAAAGATTTCAAATTAGAACAAGAAGAAACTTTGTTTATTAATAACAAAAAGGCGACTTTAATGATTTTATAGGTATCATTTACTTTGTAAAGTATTTATTATATTTTCCTGGCCTGAGAGGTCAACGTATTAGATTTCATGATATCACTTAGCGACATTTTGTCTACCTACCACGTTTGATTTTATCAGTAAAAGCAAGGACTCTTTTAAAACGTTCAATTATTTTCAAAAACAGCTAGTCAGACTTCACGCTCCAAGAGCGTCTAGTTTTTTTCCAAGTTCGGGTCTCCCGATCGCACTCCGATCTCTATACGAAATATCACATTACGAACTCGGCTGTAAACAATCGTGTGTGTGTGTGTTGTTCGTCCATCATAAACGATGATGACCATGATATCAGGAAAATAGATATAAAAAGAAAAAAGATAAAAAAGAGGTTACGAGGTGGGATGGCCACGATGAGTTCGGAGATGGCTGATGAGACCAATCCGGGCGAGGAACCCTCTTCCACAGGTCGTGCAGTAGTGGGTAGGGGTCGTGTTAATTTAGTTTGTGGCTCTGCCCTTGCGTGCGGCTCTCTTCAGGTCTGCTTGGAGGGACCTGCGTTCTTCCGCTGTTTTGGCTCCTTGAGGGATGGTGCGACGCCAGCATAGTCTGTCGGAAGCAAGTACCTCCCAGGATTCAGTGCTGATATTGAAGTCTTTTAAGGATACTTTAAGAGTATCCTTAAAGCGTTTGCGTTGACCACCGACTGAGCGCTTGCCGTGACATAGTTCTCCGTAGAATAATTGCTTTGGGATACGATTATCGGGCATACGAGAAACGTGACCAGCCCATCTCAGTTGGGTTTTACGCGTGATGGTGGTAAAAGTGGGGAAGTTTGCCCGCTTCAGAACCTCTGTGTTTGGAACTTTGTCCTGCCAACGGATGCGGAGAAGGTTGCGAAGGCATCTCAGGTGGAAGTGGTTAAGAATCTTTTCGTGTCGTCTGTAAACAGTCCATGTTTACGAACCATAGAGAAGGGTGGTGAGGACGACTGCACGGTACACTTTCAATTTGGTCTGAAGGCTGATTCCCCTCCTATCCCAGACTTTCTCCCTCAGTCTACCGAAAGCGCTGCTTGCCTTGGANAGCATCAATGGTGGCGGTTCGAGAAAGGGTGCTGCCGAGGTAGGTAAAAGCCTCTACCGCCTGGAGAGTCTGTCCATTCACTGTAATCTGCGGTTCATGATACTGATTGCCTGGGGATGGCTGGAACATCACCTCGGTCTATTTAGTGCTAATGGTGAGACCAAAATTGTTGCACGCTGCAGAGAAGCTGTTCATCTCGGCTTGCATTTCCTGTTCGTCATTAGCGTTGAGGGCGCAGTCGTCGGCGAAGAGAAAGTCTCTAAGAACAGTCTTCTTCACCTTCGTGATGGCTTGTAAGCTCCTCGGATTGAACAGCCAGGCTTAAACTCACTGAAAGCATCATACAGCATAGCTGAAAACATCAAGCTGAAGAGTGTTGGGGCCAGAATGCAACCTTGTTTGACTCCGTTGGTTACCGGGAAGGAGGCAGAAGGTTCACCGTCATCAAGGACACAGGCCATAATGCCGTCATGGAATTGGCGGACCATTGTAATGAATGTGTTTGGACAGCCGAATTTCGCCATGATTTTCCAGAGTCCACCCCGGCTGACAGAGTCAAAGGCCTTAGTCAAGTCAACAAAGGTCGTGTAGAGGTCACGGTGCTGTTCCATACATTTTCCTGAAGTTGACGAGCAGCAAATATCATGTCGATGGTTCCTCGGCCTGCGCGAAAGCCGCACTGACTTTCAGGGAGGAGACCTTGCTCCAAGTGGTCCAGCAAGCGGTTGAGAAGGACCCGGGCCAGGATTTTGCCTGCTATGGATAGGAGAGAAATTCCTCGATGGTTGTCACAGGACTGTCGGTTTCCTTTGCGCTTGTAGATGYGGACTATTGTGGCGTCCTTGAAATCCTGTGGCATTTGTTCTTGGCTCCACATGGTCTGGTACAGGCTTGTCAGCTTATCAGTGATGGTTGCACTACCTAACATAAACACGTCAGCGGGAATGGCATCGGAGCCAGGAGCTTTTCCGCTGGACATCTGCTTAGTGGCCTTGCTGACCTCTGCGCTTGAGGGAGGGATGTCAAGTTCATGATTTGTCTTCACCTGAGGGAGGCGTGCAATTGCTTCGTCATTGATTTTCACAGGACGATTTAGCACGTTATCGAAGTGCTCAGCCCATCTCTCCAGGATCTTCTTCTTGTCTGTAAGCAGAGTTGAGCCATCTGAACTGAGCAGGGGAGATGACCCCGAGGACTGTGGTCCGTAGACAGCTTTCAGTGCATCGTAAAACCTTTTAGAGTCATGTCTGTCAGCGTAGCGTTGAATTTCATCCGCCTTGGCACTAAGCCACAATCGTATAGTAGAACAGTTAACTGCTCGGGAGTTACTGTAGCTTTTACAGTAATTCTTTGATATTCGAGGTCTTTTGTTATTCCAAAACATTCATCTGTGTAAGACCATATATTATGACATTGGTTTAGGTCGTAAAGGTTGGTGTATCGTGCCAAATAGAGCATTTTCCTTGTCGAGATGTAAAGCGATACTTCGTAGCTGAGTGAATTCCGCAACTTGGCTATCTCATTCTGAGTTGCATAGCCTAAATTCTCAATTTGATGAGGGATTCTGTCTCTTCTGGATTACGAAAACAATGTTAATATTCACGCAGGAGTATTGCAAGATAAAGATTGAAGCGATCATGGTTTTATAGAGCGGGATAACCATCTTGTTGAAATCGTTGCCACAGCGCCAACTA